TAATGGTGAATCAGATGGCGAGCCACCCAGTTGGATACCTGAGCTCTGCGTGATTCCACAGCACTATTTGAGCTTGAACTCAAGAGTGGTAGGATCACTCCAGCACCCAAAAACTGGACAACCAGTCACGCAATTTCAAACTCCATATAATTTACTTTAAATTGAACTACAAGGACATTCTTTTGTTGTTACAAGGAAAAAGGACCCATTTTATTTAATTGTGATTTAAATGTGTGTTTCTGTTAAATTGTCCTAAATACAAATTATTTTCTGCATAAAGTAATCAGTGTCTGGTTATTGCACTTGTGTGTAGCTCCTTTCGAACCTGGAAGAAGTGTACTTACCCAGGAGTGGGTTACACACCTGTATGATATCCCCAGGCCCCGGTAAAGCATTCCCTCTGTCCACCAAATTTTGAAATATCTGTATCACAGTCCTGTAAATGTCTATCATGTCATCATGCTCAATTCCATCAAAATGAAAGCGCTGCCTTATTTCCATGTTGGTAAACTGTGGCCTGCATATTATATTAACATCTCCAACATCACCATCACCCGCACCCCCATCTTGTTGCTGTTGTCCCACATTATCAACGTCCATAATTTCTGTATCCACCTCCGCTGCGGCAACTTCGTCATCATCATAATTTAAATCATGTAATACGTTTTGTAAGATGGGGTTAAATTCACCTGGATGCTCACCATTCAGTTCTGCAATCATCTGATGCAGTTCAGAGTGCATGGCCAATCCGCCACTTGCATCAAGCATTTCAGCATCTGCGTCCAGTCTGCTGTCACCCCTAACACCAGACCCAGCCACGTGGTCGTCAGCCATTTCCACATGCATAGCCACATGTGCATTTGGTGACCGCCCGTCTACATTTCCTACAGCGTCACCCATATTAAAATATCCCATAGCTTCGACCACTTCACCAGTACGATTTTCATTTAAATCATTTATTAAGGCGAACATGAAGGGGTTCATTTCAGCCAGTGGTCCATCATTCAGTTCATCAGTCAACCGATGCTGATCAGGGATCATCGGCATTTCACTATCGTCGTCATTTATATGCATCCTTCTAGATTCCCCGGCCCCATCAAAACTACACAGCCTCCATTTTTCAGACATACCCCCTGCTTATTCTTTAGATCTGGTCAGACAAATCCACCAAAAAATCACATATCTGATCCTGAAAAAGGAAAAAAGCTACTTTGAGCCCCTTCAGCTGCTCGACCTGGGAAACAGCTCTGGCCGGGGAACTCACAACAGGCCACAGCCAAGGTATTACTGGGTCAATATCCCAATCTTGTGTCCTCTGCGGGGGTCCCGACAAGGCACGGGTTGAGGTTGCTGGAACACCTCTTGCAGATTCCCCTTGGTCCGGTGGCACGCTTCGTATCGTGGGAGTCCCCGGTCACGTAGATTCCAGTTGGCCGGCCAGCTTTCCCTGTACACTGTGGGCCCAACGCTCCAGCGCCATCCATTTTCAGGGCTAGTTGATTTGGCAGGTGAGTTGTTATACACTCCTTAGCAGATTCCAACTTCCATTGCCACCATCCTGCTGTCTATATCAACCAACATTTTTTCTGGGGTCTGATGAGCGTCGGCATCAATCAAACAATAGCCCTGGCAGCAAAAGGAGGACAGGCACAGCCTGTAATGATCCTAATATTTTGTTGCATTGCTCTAAAACCACTGGGGTTATAATCAGTATTTTAATTAATGAGCCCGAGTAAACCTAAATTGTGTGTGGCTCGATGTCTCTAGGAATATTATTGCATGTTTCCTACCGCCACGGGGCACATACCATCAGAAAGGCAAAGTGATTCAAGAGATTCAACGATATTACAAGGCATTAAACATTATCCAAAA